CCTCTCCTCCGGAATGGACCGTGCCTGCCTGCCTGCCTGCCTGCCTGCCTGCCTGAGCTTTGGGCTGAGAATGAAGCGCCGCTCGCTTGTGTGTCTGTTTCTAAAAGTCCCACAGACACCCCCACCCCACTCCCACACCTCCACACCCACTGCCCTCCTTCACCCTCCTCCTCCTCCTCCTTCTTCTCCTTCTTCTTCTTCTATCACTCCATCCCACAGATCCCCTCCGCATAGAGATGGATGACTTGTCAGACAAAGGCAATAGATTCCAACACTTTGTGATTCGCCCACGCAAAAGAGAGAGAGAGAGAGAGAGAGAGAGAGAGAGAGAGAGAGGAAAAAAAAAGATGCAGCTCAAACGAGAGCATCCGACAGTCAGGAAGAGGAGGGAGACCGAATGGGAAATGATGAGACTTTTTTTGTTTGTTTGTTTGTTTTAAGACGGAATTAAAAGGCGGTTTTTGTTGTTTCAAGTGCTGCTTTCTCAAGACGTCCAGTACAAAAGACACGTGTGCGAACCTTGCAAAAGTGCACAGAATCGTGTACAAAGTGTTTGGAAAAAAAAAAAAAAACTCAAATTTTATTTTCGCGATGTAGTGAATTTTTTTTTAATATACTTTTTTCAGTGCAGGTTGGGACCTCTTCAATTTTTTTCTATCAGGGGCTTCATGGAGTCTCAGTAAATGCGACCAACAATGGCACATGTCTCTTTGGTGACTTGTATTTAAAATCAAAACAAAAAAAAAAAACAAAAAAACATTTGAACATGTGAACTGCTGTCGTGTGATAATAATAATTAAAAACTTTGACTTTAAATTTGTCATTGGGTGCCTTTTTCCTGGAAGGGTGCATATCATGCCCCTTATATGTTTGAAGAAATTAATTTAATAGTCTAGCCAGTGTGCTACGTTTTGATGACTTTCATTCAAAATATATGAATATTCACGATGTGCACGCACGCTGTGCAAAAGTTGCGAAAAAATAAATTTAACGAGACCATTAATGATACGAGTACAGCTCTTCCACCGATTAAAAAAAATGTAAAAACAGCACGTAGTATACAACTGATGTGATGGGCGGGGAAGAAAAATCAAGACTATCTCCACCCACCCCTATATTATGTTCGTCATTATGTTTCCAGTTCACTGTAAATTGCAGGTGTATTATGGGAACCTTTTGTCTGTCAGGTGTCACGTAAATATCACAAATGGGGCGGGTGGGGGGGATTAGGATCAACAATGACACTTGTTCTACACTTTATGACTTGTATTTTAAAATCTATGAATAGCACTAAAACATGCAATTGATGTAAACGTGTAAGCGTCCTTCAAATACCCCCCCCCCAAAAAAAACACAATCAAAATGGCTTTATTATATGTCAAAATCTGTTTTAACTCTTTAAGAAGGCTTTTCTTATCGGGAGCTAGATAAAATCTAAAATTACATTTAATTGGGCACTATTGATGATTTGAATATTGAAAAATACAGCACCCCAATTTGTTGTGAAAATGTTGGCTGCTTTACAATGGACTTAAAAATATCATATCACTGTTTCAGTTATGTTCTCTGTCCAGTTGAGTAGACCGAGAACCTTTTTTTTTCCTGTTAGTTGCTTATACAAAATTCAATTAAATGGATGAAAAAGCAATGGGACCAACAATGACACTTGTGGTACTTTTGGATGACTTGCATTGGGGTCAAAGTCATTAATGTGAGCAGATTAGCTGTTTAAGGTTTACCAAAAATAATTGTAATTTTTCAAATATAAGTCATTTTTTACCCCCGAGTGACTTGAAAACAGGGGTGCAAGGTGGGCGGGGCATAGAATGTTCCTCTCGATGTATGTTAAAAATGCAAGCAACACGAGTATTTGTGCTGATTCTAAAACAAGATAGCTGATGTCTTATAAAACAAATAATTAGAAAATATTTTTTTCAAACATGTTTTCTGTTCTTCATTATAGGTGGTTTAAAACTTTATTCTACCAGGGGCCACTCATTAAAATAAAAACACACAATGCAACAATTCTGTGTTATTATTTAGTCTGGACATTGTGACTTATGGTAAAAAAAAAAAAAAAGAGAGAGAGAAAAGAAATCTGTATTTTACTCCAAATTCCACTTTTGCCTTTCATGGCCGCCTGCAGTGAGTGAGTCACGACGAGGCCATCATCATCATTTTCTTCATCATCTTCATCATCATCCACTCCGCGACTATACGCGGTGGTGCTCTGTAGATGGCGCTCACACAGCAGCTTTGTGGTGTCCGTGCATTCCGCTGTTCAGTCGACTCACTTGCAGCTCGGCCGGGTCAAAGTTCGGGAGTAAACCTACTGTAGCTGGAGGAAAAATCCACTAACCC